AGGGAAAGAAGGTGCTAAGTAGAGACAATAATCGGTTCTGGCACCGAGCTCCAAAATGTGTTCACACACGTGTCAGAGTAGTTTTGTGTAGCGCTCGTTGGTTCGTCTAAAACTAAATTGGGTGAGTGCGTACTGTGAAATATTTGGAGGCAAATCTGTTCTCCAGGTTCCAAACCTGCTGGAGGGAAAAGAGGACACTGAGGGAGGCAGGTGGATCGCCCTGCTTACAATGCAGATCGGCGGTGTTGTGGCTTTCAACTGCTCCTTGCAAAGCAAAGATAGATGATATCTGTGATAGAAGCACGGCCTTGGAAATGCACATTTACCACGTGCAAGGCTGTGCTCTGGGGAGCTGCTGTGCTTGGGGGGACAGGGAGTGCAAGCTGTTACAATCTGCATGAACGTGTACGGGCTCGGGAAACGTTTCCGGCGTGAGATTGCTCTGCAGTGTGGAGAAGGAAAAAATCCCCATGTAATCTATTAAAAACTCGTCCTATAGCTGTGCAGATGGGGAAAAATCAACCTAACCAGACCAGCACAGGGGTTTGTGCAGCTCCACAGACAAACCAACCTTTGGGTATGGCCCGTGAAATGGGGCACCTGAAGTTGGGCAGCGTTTGCCCAGGAAATCAGTCTAAGATGCAACGCTGACCTTGTTTCATTACAGCTGTTACCGTGCTAACAGAGTTAACTGTGACTTACGAGTGATGTTTTTATTTCAGAGCACAAAGTCATCATTGTTGGGCTGGATAATGCAGGGAAGACGACCATTCTTTATCAATTGTAAGTATGAACTGCAGTCGATGTTTCTCTTATTTCTAGTTGTGCGTTATGTGTATTGCTCTGATTTGTTGCTGCCGCTTTCCCAGTGAGTTTTTAATTGGAGAGCTGAAGATTACCGAGCTGTGCAGGTGGCAGTGGGTCAGAGCGCGTGCTGAGTTTGGAAAGCTCTGTCTTTTGCCTGGTGTATGAATAAGGTTTTGTTCAGAGCGTTTATTTGTCAGATTGCATCGCTATTACCACTTAATCACAACTGCCTTTGGTGTCGCCGTGTGGGCTGTTTGCCAGCGCTGTACAATATGATTACGTTGAGGGTTACCCACAGGACAGCGCTGCTAAACTGATCCCCACCGCAGCGTGCCAATACTCAACGAGTTGTGAGCAGCAAAGCAGGGCAGCCTGAGCTGTCCCTGCCGCGACTCCTGGGCTGCGCACCACGAAGTGCGTCCGTGTTGTTTGTGGTAGGAATGGAGGAGGAAGCCTGTGCCCAGGGGAGCTCAGCTCTGTGGCTGGGGTTACCCACAGGACAGCGCTGCTAAACTGATCCCCACCGCAGCGTGCCAATACTCAACGAGTTGTGAGCAGCAAAGCAGGGCAGCCTGGGTTGTCCCTGCCGCGACTCCTGGGCTGCGCACCACGAAGTGCGTCCGTGTTGTTTGTGGTAGGAATGGAGGAGGAAGCCTGTGCCCAGGGGAGCTCAGCTCTGTGGCTGGTGGCCCCCCGTGCTTCCTGCCCCGGCCTTTCTTTGAGCCGCCAGCGCTGGTGGCTGTCGTGTGGCTTCTGCCTTGTGTTTGTCTTGCCTTAACCTTGCTGCTGGTTTATGTGAAACTTGTGCGAGCTTCGTATCTCTGCTCCTCAACTGCATTTTGATAAAAGGGGACAAACTTGTCCGGCTCTTAGGTGGGACAGGCGGCTCGAGGCCTGTTTATCATAGAAACCGATTTGCCATTTCTCACGTGAAAGAGTCTGCTCTTGGGAAGTGTTCCTGAGTCAGTATCAGGAATAATTCCTGTGCAATGATATGGCCATGCTGGTCCAATCCTACACTTTAAATACGCTTTCTTAAAATGTTTGGGTTTTGCCAAATTGCAATCTGCTTTTGCCTTTCTGAAATGTGAAAGTCATGCAGCTTTTCCAGCCGCTTCTGCCCTAGCTCACTCTGCGGAGAAAGTGGAAAGGTGAAGGCGGTGGTTGTTGTTTGAATCGGGAGTGAGAGATTTCAAAAAGCATAAACAGAATGAAGAAGATGTTTAAGAGGAGCAACGGCTGCGGCTGAGGGCCATCCTCGGTGCATGTTAATGCCACTTCCTCCACAAGTGTCTCTTGGTTCTTCCCCTCTTCTTATTTTTGCAGTCTCAGTGTTTTCATTCCCTTCTGTGCAGCAGCTCTCTGGAGGCCTCTTTTCCTTTAGACCCATTTTAGCCCCACAGGACTTCCCCTTCTCTCTCCTTGCCTTTCCCTTCCCCGCTTTGCCAGAGCTCTGTCTGCTCTGCTCTGCCTCTGCTCCTCCTGCCCTGCTCCTCCTCAAAGGGGGAGTTAAAACAGCTCTGCTAACACCTGTTTTTTAAATACTCAATCAGCCACGGGCAACTTCTTCCATCATCTTTATCCTTAATTTGATTTTATGGTTTGTTCTTCTAATCCTTTTCCCTGATGTAGCCTCCCTCAAATGTGCGTGGTGAGAAGGTTGGGGTAACTGGGATTCCTTTTCAGGACACCGGGCCATGCCTTTATCCCCTCGGTTCTCTGTGTCCTCTTCAAGAAATATTGTTACAAGACTCAAATTGCTATCCCTTTAACTGAAAGCTCTGCTAAAGCTTCAAAAAGGTTCATATAAAATGAAAAAACATACCAAGATTACCAGAAGAAAAAATAATTAGTTATCTGAAAACGGTTGATGTTTTCCTTGAAGCTACTTTTCATTTTTTCACATATTTCATATAGTAGAGCTTAAATAATCTGAACTTCAGGAGCGCCCAGACTACGCGTTTGGTTATCGCTATTGATGAGAAACTGGTGCTTTTAATGACAAAGTTGCACTTGTTTGGTTTTTTTAAATATTTGAAATATTTCATGTCTGCATTTGTCTCCAAAAAGCGCTGTTGTTGGCCTGTGCTGAAGGGAGGCGAGAAGGAAGTTTGGACAGAAAGGAACTGAGCTGTGGGGAGAGCACTGGCAGCGGAGCGAGGTGCAGTGTCTGCTGGGGCTGGACCGTGAGCTGTTGTTTTCTGCAGCCTTGGAAATCCTGTGGCTTTTAACCACGTTCTCGAAGAAAAACAACTGCTCTCTCCCATGTGTGCCAAAATCGGTCTGGAAAAAGAAAAGCTGACTGCTTGAAGCAGCTTCTGAAGCAAAGATTCTCTCAGCTTTATGATTTAATTAATTATAATATGGTTTTGTTCTTGAGTGCTCTCTCAGCTCTATAATTTGATTATTATCTAGTTCACCGAGTCCTTTTTTACTGCTCTTTTTACTTATTTTTGTTTGCCTTCCACTGCCAAACCTTGTCTCCCTTTGCTGCATAAGGAGCGTTTTCTAAACTTCCCTCACTGAGCTTTCTACCTCGAAACAACCCTGGAGTTTAGTTTTTTATAGAAGTAGGTCAGTTTGGAGTCCCGAGATGCTGGATAACACAGGTAACTTGCTAATTCTTGCAGTTTCTCACCGAGTCGCTCTGCTCCCTCTGCAGCTCCATGAACGAAGTGGTGCACACCTCCCCCACCATAGGGAGCAACGTGGAGGAGATCGTGGTGAACAACACGCGCTTCCTGATGTGGGACATCGGCGGGCAGGAGTCTCTGCGCTCTTCCTGGAACACCTACTACACCAACACGGAGGTGAGACGAGCGCCTGGCCGCCAGATTTGGGAGTGGATAGAAACACAGAATCACTTGGTTGGAAAGGATCTTTAAGGTCACTGATTCCAAGTATAAATACAGAATATATAAATACAGTGTACCTGAGATCTGCATCAGAAACACTTCCAGAGGGCTCGTGTATTTAAATGTTCCCATAACTCCGTCAGGGTCGTATGTTGGTTTTTGAAGTCTCCTCCTTAGCAAGCTGTGGTGCAACTCTTACCACAGAATGTGAGGAGTTGGAAGGGACCTGGAAAGCTCCCCCAGTGCAGCCCCTGCCAGAGCAGGAGCACCAGAGCAGTCACACAGGAACACGGCCAGGGCTTTGGGTGTCTGCAGACAAGGAGACTCCACAACCTCTCTGGGCAGCCTGGGCCATGCTCCAGAACCCTCACACTCACAAAGTTTGGCCTCATCTTCAGCTTGAACCTCCTGTGCTCCAGCTTGGGACCATTGCCCCTTGTGCTGGCATTGGCCATCCCAGAGCAGAGCCTGGCTCCTTCCTCCTGACACTGCCCTTTCCCAATGGATCCCCAGGAATGAGGGCACCCCTCAGTCTCCTCTGCTCCAAGCTCAAGAGCCCCAGCTCCCTCAGCCGCTCCTCAGCAGGAGATGCTCCACTCCCTCCAGCATCTTTGTGGCCCTGCTGGACTCTTATTTCTCACGAAAGATGTGTAATACGGAGTTGCAATTAAAACTGATTTTTTTATAAGGATTCGGTCTGGGGATCTGTGGCCTTCAGGCAGGGGCTCAGTTTGCCTTGGCACTGTGAATACCCCTGTTTATGGGTCCCCTCTTGTTGGCCATGACTGCTCTGTCTCTGCAGCAGGTGCTCACAACCTGGGCATCCCCTCAGGAGTAAGACTGAAAAGCCAAAAGTTTTCCTCCAGACTGAGGGAGCTCCCGTGATCAGTTTGCTTAAGCACCCCCAAGAGTTTTAAGAACTCTTTAGCAATGAAGTTGGAGCACATACATCAAACCTGATTAAAATAATTATTGAAGTCAGGGTTTCCTATGTGTTACTAATTATGGTTTTAAAAAAGATATTTTTAAAAATAATTAATATTGTTCTCCTGTGTTTCCCTGTAAGATGCTATGATGTGCATCTGCATGTGTGCTCTTGAATTATGAAGCTTATGGTTGGGTTTTTTTTAAATCCCTTGCAAATATCTATTTGCATGTTAGTGTGTGAAATAGAGAGAGAAAGCTGATACAGTTTACCTTTTTAAGGCTGCAGCAAATTATTTGAAGGATCTTTGTGTTACCTCAGTTATGCTAAAAAAAGAACAAAACCAGATCTGGGATTACAGAGAAAGACTTGGTTTCAATAGAAATTTATCACTTAAAACTGGTAAGTGGGGAGTTAAAAGATGTGTCAGAGCTAGGTTTGTGTACAAACTCTGGCATAAGTTGTCAGCTGTACCCGTGCTGTGGTAATCGAGCTCTGGCTGGGAGCAGCGTACCTGGAGCAGGAGGATATCTGATAATGCAGCTGGGTGATGTGGTGGGGACAGTAATGGGTTCTGGTGACGAGCGTGTGACCGGAAAGGTCGAGTTTGTTCCCTGACTAACAGCTCTTTGCTTTTTAAAGTTTGTGATAGTTGTTGTGGACAGCACAGACAGAGAGAGAATTTCTGTGACTAAAGAAGAACTGTATAAGATGCTAGCACATGAGGTGAGTGCACCCTCTGTTTTCTTTGCTTTAATATTTATTGTGGGTGAGATGTGGATGATAGATGGTAGGGGAAGCGATTTGCATGCTGTCTGTGGAAGCTCTCGTGATTATTACCTGGAGATGAACCAGAACAGAGCAAGGCCTTGCCAGTGAAGCCTGAGGCGAGAGTTAACAGCTGTGTTCTCCCAGCTGCAGGTAGTACTGTCCTGTTCCTGCTACAGGCTCTGTCTTTTCTGAACCTCTCAATAAAGCTGTAAATTAATACCAAATTACTGAAGAGAGCTCCCGCAAGTGTAGCTTCTCAACTTCTGAGTGCTTCAGTGAAACAGGAGTTAGGACCTATAAATGACTTTTGTGTTTTTTACACTTCAGTCCATCTTGATAGATCGTTTCAGACAAACATTGTTTCCTCCAACAACTTAATTATTCTTTTTGATAGCTTCACGGTTGCTTGATGTTTTCTTTTCTCACAGTGAAACATACAGCTTTATTAACTTGGTTTATAGCAACCAGCTGTAAAACTGCAGAAACGAGCTGCCTATGGCTACAGTAGCCATCATTCTCTGCGTACTTAGAATTACAGAATGAGAGTTGAAAACTGAGCCCTGTGTCAGGTCTAAACCTGGCCTGATGAATATGCCAAGGAGCACCTATTGGTGACCCACATGTCCCAAAAACTTTAATCTCTCCAGGCAGGAGCAGAGCCCTGGTTTGTGCTGAAGATGTTTGTATTAGCTTGGCTACTGCTGGGACTCATAAGACAAGTTTAATCCAAGCTGGATCAGTGTGAATGAGATGACACTGAGCTTCCAGATTTAAGTGTCAGGATACAAAGAGGTGCATAAAATTTGTGGCATTATATCCCAGAATATTACCTCTATATTTAAACTATAGCCACTGCTTAGTAGATGACTGCAGGAGGGGCAAAGACTGCTCATTTATTTCTTTTGAGTGAACATGGTAATCTAAAGCATTTCAGAAGACACAAGTGCATTGCCTAGTGTCTTGAATTTCTCAATTTTGATATTTAAATTAAAATTGTGTTTGATAAAGTGAATTCTAATAAAGCAGGTCTGGCTCTCTTGGTTGTGGTGGAGTGTTAAATGTGGTTGGGGGCTGCTGCCATTGGGCGTGCTGCTGTCAGAATTAGAAATTCAGAGATGTGCTCCTCACTCTGTTGCAGTCGCTAAACAAAATCTGCGTCTCCTGTTTCGTAATCCCTAAAGGAAATGCAGAAGTTGTTAACAAACTGAATTGGAAATGAGGGAAGTCAGGAACTCCCAGCAGCACCAGTGCCCTTGCTCCGTGTTTGGAGCCTATTTCTGTGCTCCGAAAGCGCCCGGCACCAGTAAATGCCATTGTTTTACAACAGGATGTGTTCAGTAAATGCTGCAGACTCTCCAGACACTACGGCCTTTGAAGAGAACAACAACGTGTATAAGCTGAAATGAAAGCCAAATATTTATTTAGAGTAGCTTTTCCTCATGGTCCTTGACAATCTCTTATTTCTGCTAACCAGTTCAATCGGATTTTTGTTAAGGCAAAATTGAGTTGTCCAGGTCAGTTCCAGCTCTTCGGGACCAGCAGATCGAATTTTACTGCTTGTGAAAATTAGTGTGGCTGATTGGCATTTAAGTGAATGTTTTGGCTTCCTGGGAAGACCATTTTACTTTCAGAGGGGCGATTTCCAATAATACAGGCAAGCAGTGTGAGACAAAATAAGCTTGCCCCTAGAGTCACTGTTTTCTAAATGGTTAGCACTGATGTTTTAAATATTGCATGGGCCTTATAAAGAAGTTGACTGCAATGTGCTCGCTCATGTAGATGTCCATCCTTTGATTCCAAAGCAGTGTAAACGATGTTTTTCTACAAATCACAGAATCCCAGACCGTTAGGGAT